ATTTTTATTTTTTTTGCCTTTTATAGTAGTTTAAAAAGGAATGGATTTCAAATTTGATGAAAACGAAAAATAGGCGAAAACCGTCATTTTTTTCCTGTTCACCAGCTCCTGGTCACAGGAGACGGGTATTATACAAAGATGTTACGTTCTTTCAGACGCAATTTACAAATTTGAGCTTAAAATAATTTATACATTTTGGTGACAATAACTGGTAAAAATATAGTTTAGTATATTTTTTGTCGATAAAAAGCAAAAATAAGTGTAAAATCTTTGTCCTTGTAAACGACAAAAAAACAGAAACCGTATAAAAAGTTTTCATAAAACATGTACATAAGTATAAAGTAATAAACATGTACTATATAAAGTAATAAATTATGTAGAAGAATAGACAGTAAATATAGAAGGTGGCAAAATGGAAACCATCGACTTGATGGGAAGTAAGTTGAGAAACAACAAAAAACATAAGCAAGGAGTAGTACAAAAGAACACCTGCAAATTGCGATATTGTATTTCTATGGTGTTTTGCAGGTTTACGTGCATTTCTCGAAAATGCAATAGAGCAACATTAAATTATCTTCTGATGCAAATTTCGTTTTAACGAGTTCATAATAATGGCTTTGGAAGTGTGTGTGTGTGTGGAATGCAAACAATAAGAGGAACTCATTACGTTTAGAATAGTCAGCGTTAGTCGCGAAGCACCGTTTGTTTCTCTCGATTTTAACGCGCAAGGTACCGGAACATTGGAAATAAAAGTGTGCATTAAAACATTGAATTACTTATCCATTTACAAATTTTTGTAACAATAATCAAGAGAAGCTTTTAGACTTTATACAAGGTACCTACTCTTTTTATATGTGCAACATAATTTGTCTGAACCATGACTTGATTAGGCTCACAATGTACCGAACTAGCATGGAAACACAAAGTAGAACGTTTGGGTCGATTGGGCCAATATTTTATTTGAACACTTTCAGTTTCTGTATCTGCAATTGTGTCAATCACACTCAGCATAACAAGAGTAAAAAGTAATTAAACAGAATAGGATTAAATCGCCACAAATGCTACAAACGAAAAAAATATACTCCACGCTGCATTTCTTGCCCTTAATAGAAACGAAAGCTTTCTTTACCTACAGAATACATTAGCGTTGAGCACTAGTTCAAATTCGGTTTCGGGTGCGAACATTTTGTATTTTTGTATGTCAAATTGTAGCATAGATCAATCTTTTTTGAAATTTCCCTAAAAAAATCCGTTTAACTTTGATAACGTAAAGCTCAATATCCCGCGAAGTCTTAAAAAAAGTCGTGAAAATTTATATTTCTAATAATCTTTGAATTTACAAACGTTACAAGTGGATTAACCAGCAAGGAATAGGCGGACGACCGAGGGACTTTCGGGATGAGAAGTAGAAGTCATCGCTCCATCAAGTACTAACGGTCTATTGAAGAGGCCGCATGAGCGGATGGGAGGCCCCTAAAAGTGGATGAGTCCTCAGGGATCAACGGCATCGAATGTGGAAAGCAACGGGAAACTACCACATTAAATATCCTAGGATTTCCCAAGAAGAAGGCGTTTTTCAAAATGTCTACTATGAATCGTGCTTTTGTAAAATGCAGTAATACACCCCCCAATCGGATCTCCAGGTGGAAACTGGAGAAAATTGCGATTTACGTACGAAAAAGAATAATAGTAGGAGGAATAGCTTCTCGGAATTTGGGCACCTTATTGCAATGTGGAAAGGGCACTCGCAAATATACCTACCTCGAGGGGAGGGGGGACAAATTGGACCCTTACGAAGGGAAACATAAGTACTTGTATTCAACGAACAGTTGATAGCTCAGATAGCGGTCTGCGAAGAACGAGGGGAGAAACATATCATAGAATCGCGAGCAATAACGGGGACCACAGCTTATACTGCTACAAAGTATACAGACTAGAGAGGAGAGGGAACTCTGAACCACAGATCGATAACATAGTAAGGACCAAATCAAAGAAAATAAGCATCACAAACACAGTAGGAGTATGAGTCAAAACAGTAGGATCGGACCACAAAATGGGAGGACGAGAAGAAAAAGGAAAGGACAGAACTGAATGGTGGAATGTGAAACATCAGACAGAGGAGAAGAGAGGGGAGAAGTATAGAAAGGAGCAGGACCACATCAGGAACAAAAAGGGGGAAGTGAAACCATTTTGGAACAGGATCGCCGAAACGCTCAAAGAAGCAGCAAAGAAAACACTTGGGGGACATAAACCGCCCATGCTACGGAACAGAAAGCAAGCTGAAGAGGTTTGGGCAAAACGCAAACAAACATGAAGCAAAGAAAGAGCTAAGGGAGGCTATAGAGAGAAGAAAAACAGATCCTTTGAACAACATGAAATTAAGGAATTCGCCGAGTTGGCAGAGAACATCCCTAAGCTTAGCCCAATGGAGAGGAATGTGAATGTATAAACACATCAAAAAAAGAGAAGGAGGAAACAAGGGTGAACAAACAAATATGTACCAATGACAGCATGGGAGAAGCTCCTGAAGGAGGAACAAGAAGCACAGGTTGAGGAAAACGATTACTGGCCACTTCCGCCACCTCCACGATGGAAGAAATAATGGAGGTATTAGGAAGACTGAAAAAGGGGAATGCCAGGGCAGGATAGAGTCCATGCTGAATCGATGGCTAATAAAGGACCTACATTATTTAATTCAGCAGGTATGGACTAGTGACTTGGTCTCCAAAGAATGGCAGCAGACAGTGCCGATCCCTATCCCAAAAGTCAGGTCACCACAAGGAAGAGACGATTACAATAGAATCTCGCTATGCGGGATACAAGACGCAACCTACCTACTACAGTGCCTAGAGGGCCAGAGCAGAGACAAACACAAAATGAAGAAAGAAAGCAGACGAGTACTGAAGGGGGAGGAAGAATCAAACACAAGCAGCCATGAAGAGGAGGCCGAGGAGCCAGAAAGGGAGGCAGGAAGAGGACAACAATAAGGAAGGGAGAATCAAGAAGGAAGGAACCTAGATCAAAGGATGGAGGCATCGAAAACTAATGGAACGCCGGAGGAGAGTTCCCTCTAATGCAGATATTCCAGTGGACAAGTTGTGACCGTACCCTTTCGGGTAGGACAGCACCCAGTTAGCCCCCCTCCCCACAACCTCCCCAATCTATAAAATCCACACGCCGCCCAGCGCTATGGAAACAAAAGTGGTGGAGATCCACTCCTGTTAGTTCCTACCTGGGACACATCCCCACGACAGTTGAGGCGGCTACGCCAGGCATATTATGCCAAAGTATAAAATTTCGTAGAACTTGGAACAATGTTCGCATTCACGTTCAGGAGCCAATTTTTAGGAACATTTTTTTTTACAAAATTGGAGGTAAATTCCACAATTTCATCTTCATGAGTTACGGGTACCTCGTAAAAATAAAAATATTCACCTTATCGATTATCAGTAAGGCAGAGGTTTGGAGTGTGGGTGGTGAGAATCCAATGTTCAGTCCCAATGGGCATTTCTTGAATATTTTACAGATGAAAGTGAGAGCCAGTTTTGAATTTCAAAGCTTTTGCTTTTCGTCCTTTTGTTCCAGCCGGCATTTCCACTCGGACGAATCCAAGGAAATTGTTATTGAACACCCGATCTACTGTGACTTTTTAGCAAAAGAGCTACTGTTCGTTTGGCAATTACAACAATTAGAAATCAGTGTGAATCTTTAAACTTAATTTTGAAATGTCCTTCTACAAAGGCCCCATTGAATTAGTTGTGGGTAAGTTCTAGATTTCGATATAGTAATGGACTACTTTTGTCCATATTTAATCAAAAACGAAGCACGTAAAATCTATTTCATGTATTTTAACCCCTAACATGTATTCTGTAGGTCGAGAAGAAAGGCATTCTTTTACTATTATTTGCATTCCTTGTAGTGTAGATTTACCGTCTCGGAAGGCTTTTATAGCAAAATTGAGAATGACATGTGTCTACAGTATATTCTGTTTTCAAAAATAGGAATTCAATCAAATATAAGTCGTTTTATAGGGATAAGAGTCTCTCGAGGTTTTAATACACTTTCTGCGTAGTGGAATTAGGGCTTGGTAAATACCTAATTTTCTAATAATGGAGAAAAGCTTTGCAAACATTTTATGCTGTCGGTAACCATTTTACAAGAATTTTTAACTCAACTTTTTACTTTGCTTTTATGTGGGTAACCAAACCCGTTGATTAAATATAAAACGAAAGAAGGAAAAGAGCGAAACTCGTTAAGAATTTCGAAGGTTTCACTGAAATGAATTGAATTTAAGGCGAGACCGAAAGATGAAACAGAAAGAGGAAAATCATATTAAATTTAGAGAAAACACAAGTAGCATTAGATTCTCTTACGTGATAGAGAAAAGAGCTTTGAATATAAATTCTTCCCAAGGGTGGAAAAATTATTCACACAAACCTGAATGGCAATCAGTTCTAACCTCTTATGTTAGTAACGGATTAGGGGAGCGAGGAGAAATCTATAACTGTGGTAAATGCTAACACGCATCTAAAAATATTATAAAACGTAAAAAATTGTTATAATATTTTTAGAGTCCCTACTAAATCCACACAACATGCAATCTAATTGCATGCAATTAGAAGAAAAGAGGAAACACATATAATTGCAAGAAATATCAAGAGTGATATAACATACATCAACACAGTGTAATGTGTATATAGTGAGTGATTTATATTATTATTTTTAATTAATATTAGATATTTACAAATTATTTGAATATTCACTGAATTTCGAGCTTTTAAGCGGGCGCATATTTTATAAGGGTGCATTTTCGTATTTACATTTCAGTGTTAATGTTTGGATGTGTGAATCTGTAAGTATTTACATGGGTAACGCCAGATACAACGAAGTATAACTAAATTGTTAATCAAGGAACTTAATTATACCCATTGGACTGGAACGTAATAAAAAAATGTTGCATAGTGAGGAATAAGTTAAAGAAGAAGGACTGGTTTCAGTACCTGTGTCACTGGGTTTTCTCCTGGGCGATATACAACGTTGTGCAAAGGTCTTTTGCGTCCTACGTAATTAACGCAAACGAACTCCAAAAGGGAGGCGTAGATGAAGCACATACAAACTCCATCCCAAACGTTCATGGCAGTGAGATTGGAGACCACAGGCAATGTCGATCTGAATCCGTTGGATGTCGTAAAAAAATTGAGCATTGTCGTTACACCTAGAAAATTACATCAGTCAAATTCGATACCAAAAGGCTTACCCATACCTATCATAACCCTCGCAGGAACAGCGTTCCATTCCAACCAAAACGTAATAAAAGACGAAGTTACTAGAATAATTCCCGGTATAAAAACTGTCGTGAAGTAAAATGCGCGATCCCTCGTGAACGTTAACTCCACTCGCAGACAGCTGTAGTGCTCTGAAACACAATGACACATTACTCATTGTTTGCCAACACCGAGCTTACGAGTGAAAGCGCCCTTTGTGCCGTCTTAATTAGACAATTAAATTCCGCATTTCAACAAGTAGATATTTTACCTCTCCAGCTGGTCTTGGTAGAACACTCGATGGTTTGATTAGATATAAGATATGCGTTGAGTGTGGTGAGGCTTGGAGATTTCCTCAAGGTGTCCTCGTCGTTTTTCCATACGTATTTCATAGCGTTCTGCTCGTAAGAGACTGCAAGTTTTTGTTTAGAAATTTTGTCGGCTAATCCGGGCTTAATATACTCACTACTTTCCATAGAAAATGAACATAGAGGATCGTCGAAAGGAAAAATGTTAAGGCTACCTTGACATGATAAGATGAGATGTCGCCTGTAAAATACAATGAAAATCAAATACTTCGCCGAAAGTTTGGTTTAGTATGGAACGCCGTTGTATCTTTTAATAACTGAACACCCGGACTAAAAAAATTAACTATAATTGACGCAATGGTACTAGAATTTATAGAAATTTACTTTGAGTTAACAACAATTGCCTAGTTGAAATTAATAATTGCATATCTTCCAATAACAACTCGCAATAATTTCCTCTTTTACAATTTCAAATAACGGTTTTTGTGCGAAATTTCAAAAACCGTTATTGAAATGGCATATTTAACAATTTCAAATCGGCAGTCTTATTCATATATCACGATTTAGAAATAACGTGTTGAAAATTTTAATGTTCAAAAATTATCGATTTGATATTATTAAATAATCTTTATATCACCTTCACGCTTTGTAATAATTTTCAATTTCAAGTTGAAATAAAAAATTCAATTCTCTATTTCAAACTCGTAACTTTGGAACGCACAATTTAATTTTTAATATCAACTCTGTGATATTGGTAATTCGATTTACTTATATGTCATGACATATAAAAAATTGTGGCGCCATCTATCGAGTGATGTCAAAAGTGAGGAGCGAACCTCAACCCAACTAATCACGTTTGATGTAATTACCGCGAAAATCTACTTTCAAGTGCTTATTTTATTACCCATATCGTTCATAAATACATTGTGCGAATAATATTGTCAAAAAAAAATGTACAATTACGCGAAATGGAGATTTTAAATTCTGTTCCGATTATTAAACTTACTGTCGCTAGAGGGCAGGTCAATTTGCTATATGTGATTTAAAAATATCGCCTTGATATTTTTAATTCATTTACCAATATGTGCGACTTGATATTTTTAATTCTATTGCACAAATTACTAATTTCTACTTGAAATTTTTAAATACTTTGCATTGTACACGATATGAAACTTAGAAATATAATTCGTGAATTGTATATTTCAATAGGATATTAAAATTTTTTTAACTATAACAACCTTTGTGTTAATTACAATTGTCAATATGGAAACTACTTCTTCCATTGTCGCAAAAATTTCAATCCCGTCTAACGTTTTATTTGAAACTGCATACCTATTAATTGATTTTAATGAAAATTTCAGGTACGTTTTAAAATGTTCAGAATGCAAAATTATAACTTCTGTTACTGAAAAATCGGTTGATGAGTTTTAAAAACATATTTTCGTTATTGAAAATTAAGAAATGAAATAGAAAATTATTCTATGGTTGAAAATAGCTTTTATTTTTAAATATCAGATAAAAATTTTTGATATCAAAAACAGTTTGTAAACATTCAGCAATGAATTCTTCATTGTGGAGGAATAAATTAATAGGGATGGATATTACTTGAAACAAGAAATTGAAAATTATCGTTATGTTGTGGATTGAACATCCAACCAAAGGAATCAATGAAATTTATTAATATTTCAACTCTAAATAATAATAGTTTTGAAATAAAAAATTGTTTTAAAATACAAAGTCGATATCATGAAATACGTTTGAAATAACAAACTTAACACCATAATTGAAGAATTACAATTATAAATTTCAAATAGCGAACTTCGCAAAGTATTTAAAAATTCCAAGTAGAAATTAGTAATTTGTGCAATAGAATTAAAAATATCAAGTCGCACATATTGGTAAATGAATTAAAAATATCAAGGCGATATTTTTAAATCACATATAGCAAATTGACCTGCCCTCTAGCGACAGTAAGTTTAATAATCGGAACAGAATTTAAAATCTCCATTTCGCGTAATTGTACATTTTTTTTGACAATATTATTCGCACAATGTATTTATGAACGATATGGGTAATAAAATAAGCACTTGAAAGTAGATTTTCGCGGTAATTACATCAAACGTGATTAGTTGGGTTGAGGTTCGCTCCTCACTTTTGACATCACTCGATAGATGGCGCCACAATTTTTTATATGTCATGACATATAAGTAAATCGAATTACCAATATCACAGAGTTGATATTAAAAATTAAATTGTGCGTTCCAAAGTTACGAGTTTGAAATAGAGAATTGAATTTTTTATTTCAACTTGAAATTGAAAATTATTACAAAGCGTGAAGGTGATATTAAAGATTATTTAATAATATCAAATCGATAATTTTTGAACATTAAAATTTTCAACACGTTATTCCTAAATCGTGATATATGAATAAGACTGCCGATTTGAAATTTTAAATATGCCATTTCAATAACGGTTTTTGAAATTTCGCACAAAAACCGTTATTTGAAATTGTAAAAGAGGAAATTATTGCGAGTTGTTATTGGAAGATATGCAATTATTAATTTCAACTAGGCAATTGTTGTTAACACAAAGTAAATTTTTATAAATTTTAGTACCATTGCGTCAATTATAGTTAATTTTTTTAGTCCGGGTGTTCAGTTATTAAAAGATACAACGGCGTTCCATAGTTTAGTAAACGCGATGCTTTCAAAGTAAAAAGGCCTGCTAAAACAACATTCGAAATTTTGCTCTACTTCTGGTGTACATTAGTCAAATCGCCTGCGGATAGCAAATATTGATTTTATGGGAAACATCAACAGAAGTACGACGCGAATCATGTTATCCTGTTTCGTGGATTTCGCGTTACCAAAATTTATTTTACAGGAGCGAATTCTTAGAGTTCATTAATTTTGCAGTCCTCTCCATGTTTAGGCATTGTTAGGGGGCGCTCATTTTCGAACTTACTTTGGCAATAGTTCGAGTATAATCCTTTAGTAATTCTGGTACCCAGGTAATTATAAAACGTGTTTTGGTTTGGGTAACTCGACGTAATCTGCAAATTGCATTTCTAGTACTCAATAATTCAATAAAATACAACACTGCAATGCGGAAACTTTTTTCTTTGGCCAGTGGATTCTACACGGAAAGCTTATAGTTAATACATTCCCGCAGACCCATGCTGGGTGCCATAAGGGGGCGCTCATGGAGTTCTTTTTATGGGTAAAACAAAAACTGTATAATTTGTGTTAAAAAGTACACAATGCAATGCAAGGTTTGCAAAAGAGCAATATAAGTTGAAAGAAGCAATTTGCTTATACCTTAATGACGGACTGTTTAATGCAGAATAATAATGGTTTTGGATATGCGGTGCGGTGTACACTTTCAACATACAAATCTCCTATGTTCAATTCTTAAATATTCAAGTCAATACCCTGTAAGACATGCAACCAATCTTACCTATTTTCATCCTTTTCAATAAACGCCAATAGCTTAATTATTTATTAAATTAAGATTGTTATATTACCTATTGATAAAATATGTACAAAAAACCTGGTAAAGCATTGAATTTCCACAAACATTGACTATTCAACCATGTTTGTATGTCAATTTGTTAACGAGGTCATGCAGGTGATGTTTTCATTAATCAAGAACAGTGATGAATGCCAGTTTTCTATTCAGCAGGAGGAAGACATTCGACCCCACAACAAAACTGTCAACGAAATATGGGGACCAACTAATCAAGGAAAGGAAAGAAAAGGACCTGTTGTAGTCTACAGAGATTTGGTACTTGAGTGGAATGGTTTTAAGAAGCTTTCATACAGCTGGACACTTGAATTATGCCAAAACATAAAATGAGGTCTATCCTGCATTAAATCGAGTTTTGAAATTTGGCATCCTTCTTCAGTTTTACATCCTGAACCACATATGAAATTTGCGACATCGTACTGTCATGGGAATCGTCGCCATTTTTAATAAAATGGCGGCGAAAATCAGGTTTTTCGCATTGTCTCCTTTTCGGTTGCAGCTATCCAAAAACTACCTATTACAAAAATGGTAGAGGATTAAATTCTCTACAAGTTATGTTCGAAACATTTTTCCATTAAACAAATGGTTTCTATTATATGAAAGTGTTAAGTGGGGCGTATTTCTTAAAATTGCGAAAACGGCGCCCTTTTCACAGGAAATTGCACTTATTATTTACGAATTATCTACTAGTCAATTATACTTATTTCTATGGTCGGCGGAAACGGGGTAAATCAAGACACTTAACACCCCCCTGAATCCCCTGAAAAATTGAGACACTTAATTTTTGTGTATATCTATTATGTAAGTATGTTATGCTCACGTTATAGATGGTGGATTTCTGCTACACAGAGTTGTCGGGCATCGAAACCAATTTTTGGCATCAATTTGCACGAATTACGTCCAAAAAAAGAAAGAAATCCACAAAAAAAGTAAAAAATTTAGCAAAGAATAAGCTAGCCGACGGCAAACAATAATTCATTTTATTTTGGTATGGTTTTAGTGCAAAGTTTCAAAACTTTGTTAAACGAAGGAACGATTAAGCGCCACCAATGGTTTCCAAAATTCTTTAACGGTTTATAATAGCCCTTCTTAAAGCGCCTTCATCAATCGTCAAGGGTTCAAAAGTATTCAAAGAGCCTTCTGGTGGAGTTAACAATTTTTAATTGGATTTTAGAAACCCTATTTTAAGGGATTTGTTTTGAAGAGGTTTTGTAACGATTTATTTTCTCCTTTAGGAACCATTATTATTGTTCCGTTTACCGCTTGTTGAAAAACAAAAAAAAAATTTGATAGATGGCTCAACCTTTTGATGGAATTTAACCGCGCAAGTTTGCCGCGCGGAACTGACAGCGCTTTGATTTTTGTGTGTCCATTTTTATAACTTTTGTTCGTAAACTGTATCGAAGTACACATCGAGTAAAAAACAGCTGAAAGCGTAAGGTGAACGTATGGAATTCTAATTGCCATCTTCTGAATATAGGTTATACATATGCGTTTTTACCCTTTTGGCGTATGTACCGCCATGTTGGATTTTGTTGTAGGTACCGCAATTTCCATCGACAATCGTTGTTTCATCTAGGATTAACCCTCCTATATAACATGCATGTCATCAAAGAAGGGGGAAATGATTTCTTTGAGGGTTCGAAGTTCCAGACACGTTTTACGTTACATACCAATTCTTGTTCGACGTACAAGTTTTGTAACCTTGAGTTAAGG